CGGGGGGGTGTTGAAGGGCCGGACAAACCCCTCGGGCTCAACTCCCCCGTAGCGGTAATTTAGATAGGCGGGCGAAGGACTCTTGGCTGCCGAAGGAAAACGGCAAACGGCCCGATACTAGTTTGGCATCCAGGGTAATTTTAATACCTTGGGATCATTAATGCCCGTGATACTTTCCCTCTTCTCCTCGAGGATCATGAAAGCTGTCAGCTTCGCCGTGTAAGACGCGATGAAGATGAGGCCGAAGAACGCCCAGACCGAGGCCGTCATCTTACTGGTGGTGCCTTTGGGGTTGTCTGCGGGTACGGCGCCGCCGAACAACATCCCCCACATCAGCCAGATGGCGCTGAACACCGTGAACTTGTGCTCTGGTGTAGGAAAAATCAAGTATCAAGTAGTTAAAGTAACCTTGGTAAAGAAAATGGGGTCGTGTGGCGCAACGGCAGCGTGCGCGACTCGGAATCAAGAGGTCCCGGGTTCGAGTCCCGACATGCCACCGATCTTGTGCCCTTGGGAAAGGCACTTTACACGACTTTCCCCACTAGACTCAAGTGAAATTAAGTTTTGTCTGTCCAATATTCGTTTCAATGTGCGGGACAAAACACCAGCAACAGCTGCCTCTGTTCCGCGTGTATTGTACTGTTGCAATTTCAATAAATCAAATCAAATCAAAGAAATCAAAGAAAATGAATGGTACATTCACATGGTTCAGCCTAACAAACTACTGATCTGTTTGCTCTTACTCATACACATTCATACATATATATATATATAAATCTATATCGGGACCATCCCTTCGAAGTCTATCCTGCCACTTGCTACATGATGTAATCCTACATCACAGGGTGTCAGCTACAGCACCAGTCACCATGGTTACAGCCGTCTGGTTCAAGTCATTGACCTCATCTGTTTGTAAGGCCCAAAGTTTGCATATTCTGTTCATCTACAGCTCCCAGAAAGCAAAGTAAAGAACCAAATCATATCCTTTGCACATACACGTTACTTTGTACAGATATCAGAAAGGATTTGATACAATCAGTTATAGGATGTTCTTAAGACTGAAAAAAACGTTTTCTTACACAAAGCAATATGCCTGTACAACGAGTCTTCGCAGTAAGACTCTTAGGGCTCTCTGGTCTTTACTTTAGTGACCACGTGAGGCTTTTTGTAATGTTTTTGTTCGTGTGTTTGTATAGGTATTGCAATGTTAATTTGTATTTGCCAGACAAGTAACTGTAACTAAAAAAATCAGTGTTATTCAGCATGTTTTTGTACAGGTTGCGAGGCTGGTTTTTCTGAAAATTAACGCACCCTCCTCTCCGGCAAACAGCCGCCTGGCCCTGCCGACTCGGGGACGCAGGAACTCGAAGACGAAGATGGCGAAGGCCATGCCGTGCACACAGACCAGGAATATCATCAGCCACGACCACACATCCAAGGGAGCTGTGGAGAACGTTGAACTTTTTATCCTCTTTAGTAACTTGGGATATTTGGGGGGCTTTTGTAATGCACTCCGTGTTATGTAGTGTGCCCATATGGCATATCATTACCTCCGGGGAAGGAGACATCCTTCCGCGGAAGGGTATTGTAAGAGATTGGGATTTTCATGTTCGCAGCTGTTTCTCGCGTTGGGGTGGACGGATTTTTTTGGGACTCGGTATACGCTTTTTCTTCTTGTACTTGGGTTCTTGTGCCGACCAAGCGTAGATAGGCACAAGAAACCCAGTGGTCGGGAGAGCATTCCAATGATACCAATGTTTTCCTGTTTTGAGGGATTCTGCCTATGGTTAGGGTTTAAGGAGTGATATGCCAAATTAAGGAGAAAGCGCATCACGAAAGCCCCCCACCCCAAAGCCCCAGTTGTACAGTCTGTCAACTCTGAATTCAATGACTGGTTACCCCCATCCCGTAAACAGATATCCGGCAGAAACACACGTAGTGCTAACAAACTGGACACTCCCATCTGTAGAACAACTCGCCACAAAAACGCTGCGATACCTTACATGACAAACTTGCTGAACAAACACTTCAACTGACAATCTGTAAATACCGACGTGACCTCGTGAATTGTATTATATATAGAAGACTATACAAGTTTTATCACGCTTATATTTATTGATTTTAACCCGAATTTGATTCATTGTCATTGTCTCCTTAGCGTTTTTAATCTATTTCATTGTAAATGCCTGTCAATTCAGACTTATTGTCTGCAAGAAGGTGTGTGAATAAAGTTTCAAAGTCAAGGAGGTTAAACGTTCTAGGATTTTGTTTCAGTGTAATTTTTGTTACAACCGGACACGTAGCGCTGAGAACATATTGATTTCAAATAAAGAATATGCGGATGTTTTTACGGTCTGGTAAACGCTAGGATGGACCAGGAGGCGTACCGAGAAACGCGGACGGGGAGACGCTGCCCTTCCGCCGGTTGACAAGCACACTGATCCCCGTCTCGACGAACGGCGCCGAGAAGTCCATATACTCATATCTGGGAAGATGATGTGAAAATGAGAATGGCAATTCCATTATAACAGGCTTTTGTATGACATTATTCCAGCCGTGTTATAACCTACCAGCAAAAATTGAACTTGATCTTCGTGACAGAATATAAGACAAACTTCCGGGCACCTTTGACACACATGCAAGCCGAAACGTCGATTGAGAATTCAATGTGCCTTCACATATTGTGTAGAATGGAAACATGGATCAGAGCAAAATGAATACGGTAGCTTCTCTTGGTGGCGGTATCGTAATGCTGATGTCTATACGTAGCACAATCGTCAACTGAACTGGTGATTACATTTCAACAGGTGGCTATCTAGTTTGAGGAGAAGTTGGATCATTTGCAGTTGCAGTCCGTACGAAAAGACTGAAAAGCTCTTTCTTACACAAGGCAACATGCCTGTACAACGAGTCTTCGCAGTAACTCTTAAGACTCTCTGGTCTTACTAATGCATGTGAGGCTTTTTGTAAGGTTTTTGTTCGTGTGTCTGTATATGTATTTCAATGTTAATTTGTATTTGCCAGACGTAGTAACTGTAAAAAATCAGTGTTAACGTTATTCAGCATGTTTTTGTACAGGCTGCAAGGCTGGTTTTTATGAATAAAACTGTTTGTCATTTAAAGCGACCATCAAATTGTCTGACTGAAATTTCCACATGTACATTTTAAATACGTCTTTGGAATTGAGCGCCAGTAGAGGCCCTGACCATGACCAGCCTCACCTTTCCTCGTTGATAGTGAGCGGCGCCACCGCCATGTCGGCCTTCTCCGCCACGATGTCTCCCACGACCCCGTTCCACTTGCCAGTCAGACTCAGCTTGCCGAACTTTCCGTCATTCACAAGGTACACCTGTTTGTACATAAGGCCACACCAAATAATTCTTATGGATGACGTCCTCTGGAGACCCTAGATCTATAATGCGGGAGCGCGAAATCATAACAAGAAGGCAGAAAAAAACAAGATGCCCACATTGAGATTCAAAGTACCTCGTATGTAAAGTGCAGATCCTTGGCCAGCTGAAGCAATAGTTCCATACAGAATCCTGAGCAGCATTTGATGATGTGTCCCGGCCTAGGAATACGAAGAACACTGGTTAAGCTTTGGTCCCAATTGGGAAATGCCGGGTACTTGCCGGGCTGTTTGGGGGCACTTTCGGGCGTGGATCCTACGTGGCCCCAAGGGACACCCTGAGGCTGTCGGGCTATTTTTCGGCCCAGCGAGGCCACGAGAAGAATTTAACTCTGACTTAAATTCTACCCGGACCCCGCTGACAAAAAGACGCCGTGACCTACCCGTGAGATCACCGGAAGGTGTCCCTGCGGTTGCCGGCAGCCTCCACCGGGACAGATTTGTGTGTACACCGTACGAACTGTTTGAACCTCCTTGGTAAGAACGGGTCAAATGTGTGACGTAACAGATCAGATGATTAGATTAATGAGCACAAACTGTGTATTGCGTGGGTCACTAAATATCGTCAGAGCATCAACCGGGTGCCTGCCGGAGACCGACCAATGAGGGTAACAACATTTTTAACAAAATGCCACTGAAAGAAACTTTTAATTGTGACCACGACAGCCGGTGCCCCTCAGACTCCAGAGCCCGGACGGGATCGGCTGGGGCTACATCCCCGACGGGCACCGGCCGGCGCAATTGGGACCAAAGTGTTAGAGCGAACATTAAGAAAAACAATTCTACAGGAAATCTTACAGAAAAAATACACTATAAACACAATAAAACTCAGCATATATATACCCTTAGTCTGAAAATAAATTTTCTTTGATCCTACCCAAATATGTTTTATTCCGTTCTATTGTCAGTTTTTTTTTCCTTATACTACATGTAAGTTCCTATTTGCATCCATCTACTTACGGTCCGTCTGTAAGTTGCTTGCATTCTACAGCCTTCCCCATGCATATCGTGTCATCCTTTTCTGAGACGAAGACGAAGGGATCCTCTTTGATGGTCACGATGTTGAAATGTCTAGACGTGGGGAGGGGGGTGAGCAGGTTGCCTAAAGACTGGGTAAGCTCTTTCAGAGACCGCTCCAAGGTGACGGTGCCATTGTACCAGCTTCCAACCTGTATCCATAAAACACCTTTGTATAAAAATATTTCAAACTTCGTTCAATATCTAAGTACGGAGAAGCATATTGAAAGTCATTTATCTGCCGTCTTGCAAACTGAAGACAACCTAAAAACATATGCATTGTATGACACATTGTTATCAAAGTATATTTGTGTTTAAAGTTAAAACTTTTGGTCCAACACAAAAAATTCTCTCACCTAGAGCTTTCGACCAGTCACTCTGGTCTTCCTCAGTAGACTGACCCAGTGAAGCTTGTCACGTGACTTCTTTGAAGTGTGACGTCAACACTGGGTCAGAGGTATCTGGTAGACGATGTCGGCCCCCGTCGCGGTTCAATGAGGGGTCAGTCTACTGAGGAAGACCAGAGTGACTGGTCGAAAGCTCTAGGTGAGAGAATTTTTTGGGCTGGAACAAAAGTTTTAACTTTAAATATGTAAATACCAACACAGATGAACTTTCATGATAAACTACATTTGTATCAAGAATAACATGACATACTTGATAGTTTAAAGCAGTCTAGTTACTACCTTTTAGATTAATAAAAAAGACTCACCCTATCAAATACTCCTCGCTTGTCAAGACCAACTATGGCAAATAATGGGTTTTCAACAAACCCGTCCTCTCCGAACTTCATCATCGAATTCTTCTTACTGAAACCCTTCATAAACCTTTCAAGAGAATAGAAAGCAAACTTCAGATTGCGACATTCAATAGGCTAGATACAAAACACTTTTAAAGTAAGAAACTATCAACAATGAAGTTGGAACATACCCTGCAAGGAGCTAGTGATGGGATTTCTTTTATCGTCATATCTAAATCGTAGATTTCTGTTTAAAGAACACACTAAAGTCGATATCATTACTGGGAATGTATACGTAAAGGTCCACAATGATTGAATTAGGAAAGCTTGGAAATAGGCAATTACATGTGTGAGGTAGGGTTCTGATGTCAATTCCCAAGTTGAAATAATCAATGAAAGCTAATGCGATTTTGTTTTTGGTGTAGGAGAGCCAATCAGTCGATAGCTAAAGATGGGCATACGTTTTGGGTTAATTTTCAATTAGCGGGTTCGGGTAGACGATAGAGTTGAATCGTCAACACCTTTTCCTGGTTATCTATTCTATTAAAGAGGACAAACTATCTAGATTAGATATTAATTGGCTATCAATATTTCAAAATGACCCTATGGACACCTTATAATTGAATTTGCCGTATGCTATGATTAGGCCATGAAAGCTCCAACTGGACTAAAGAATATGGCTTGATTGATTTTATTGACTTGTTTTGCAGCGAAGAATTGCGGGGTTGACTTTTGATACAGAGGTTGCATATCAGGGTTATGTGTGAGAATCATAAAATTGTATACTTTTGATTTGATTTGATTTATTGAAATTGTTCAGTGCAATACACGTGGGACACAGGCAGCTGTTGCTGGTGTTGTGTCCCACACATAGAAACCAATACAGGACTGGCAATACTCATTTTCACTTGAGTTAAGTGGGGAAAGTCGTGTAATGTGCCTTTCCCAAGGGCACAAGATCGGTGGCATGTCAGGACTCGAACCCGGGACCTCTTGGTTCTCTTGGTTCCGAGGCGAGCACTCTGCCGTTGCGCCACATGACCCCACGACTTTTTTGTAGTACGTACATGTAGAAAATTTAGTGATTTTTTTATATCAAACTAGTATCACTAACCTGTCAAACGCGTTATCCGCGCGCAAACGTCTCAAAGAGGCCAGGTCCTTACATCCGTTGGTTGCATTATTAAGGTCGGGCGAAGCAACCTGGTTGTTTTGTTGTAAGTACACCGACAATCCCTCGTGAAGAACGGACAAAGCGTCCTGCAGGGCGAGTTCTATCGTGTACTGAGCCTCGCGAAAGTGTAGCAGGATCAGCCCCAATGGATACTCCTCCGGCGCCTGGGGAAAATTGACGACCCTAGACGAGATGGACTGGAAACCGATCCACACGTGGTTGTCCTCCAGGATTCCAATGGACTCCGCCATGTTGAATACCCATGATGCATCAGTAGTGGAGCAGAAGAGAATGACAGCCTTTGCTTTGATAGCACGTAACAACTGCCGCACCTTCCTTGTGGAGTAATGGTTGGCGTTGACATCAAATTTTATAACTGAATCTAGTTTCCATTTATCTGATTGGTCCAAGTACGTCTGCACGTAGGAAATGAACTCTGTATGACCCGGAAGCTCAGTTTTCAAAATGGCGAATTCGTGCCACCCTTGAGAGTCGAGGACGTCGAAGAGCGCTCGAGTTTGATCTTTTAGTGAAGCGCTGATCTGCAACAGGGTTGTGTCCTGCGCCTGGAGTAAAAACCAACAAGGTTCACCACACGCACACGGTGACATTTTCTCATAATTACTCGAACACAACAGGGATGTGAACGAATGAAATGCAGCAAAGGCCACCTCTCCTCAATGGTAAATGTCATGAATATTTCTATATATGTTACAGACCTGACAGGTTTATTCATTTAGTCATAAACTGTCCTGAAGACGCAATATTATGTTGAACATTCATGATTTGATCTTGACACCCGAAGCAGATGGAATAGAGTGACGAGACGTTTAGAACTTCAACTTGAGTGCTAAGAACTGTCAGATCGTGATTGTCAGTTCAAATAGCATCACTTGAAAGAATCAATTCGGAATTTACCATTGGTATTATATTATTGAAAGAACATAGGGCTGAATTTTAAAAATGTGAAATAGTAGGTCAATCATTCGAAATTACTCTCTGTTTTATACCCTATACCTACCCCCAAATTGCTCATTTCCGCTCTCACTAGAAGCCTTGGACAAATATGACCGCTCGAGCCACCTTTGGTGGTTACTGAAGGCCGCTCTTGCGTCATAAACTTGACCTAAAGCAGTCCAGGTGGCGGTTACCAAAATGCAACTTGACAGAATCTTTAACCTGTGTCTTTTCTGTGGGCTTTGTGTAATATGATTGGCACTTAGGTACCATTTAAGTTTTCAGAATCATCGAAACCACACAATGCAACATTTCTGTATTGGCTAGATACAAAGTCATCGATGACATGTAATTTAGAACCGTTCCATTTGAAAGAGTTTTCGACGTGGTAAGATGATAAAATTGCGCAAAAAGAAACAAACTCAGCCTGTTATTGACTTTACTGAACTGATCGAAATAAGTGCAAACTTTGCTGAGGAATGTAGACTTCCTGGCATCGAAGTAGTGTATCACAGTGTCAATCAACCACGAAATAACTCTATTATTCATGATAGACCAATCAATGTGGAATGAAGACCTTGGCATTCAAAGGTAATCAAACTGCAATGAAAGAAAAAAAGTGATTACCAACATTAGGCCACACCAATTTAATTTGTTGGTTCTCGGATTTTTTCAGAAAAATATGAAGCGACAGGGCGAAAAAAATAAAACAGGTCTAGGCATCCTATTATAGGCTTAAATGCTACAAAATGAGCCATGAAGTCAACACAAAAGGCTGGGTTAAAATTTAAACATTGAATTTTGAACTTTTAATCCAACCACTGCAATGATAGATGGGAAAACTGTAACAACTAGGAAGAAAAGGACTTTCCTCAACTGTTGGGGGGCAAAACATGAGCATTTTTCAGTTGATTCAGGACCAGAATCAATTTTCTTTTTTTTTGCAAATCAGAAAAAAACGAAGAGGCGAATCCGAGAACCAACAAATTAAATTGGTGTGGCCTTACCGTCTAAGTGTCAAGCTTGATGATGATGTCCTTAAAGTTTGCAGAAGGCTTATCTACAGATAATCCAATACTTAAGATACCACACGCATCATTGCTGCACACATAATGCACAGCACTTCGTGAATTAAGCAATTCGCCAGGTAATTTAAGAGAGAAAATTGCTTTCGATTAGGTGAAGACATAGGAATGGCGTTTCCCCCATTGGAACGCTAAATTACAATACTGGGAATATTGCAAATGGTGTCATTGGCCTTTAAATCTCAAAGCAATATCCCTGCGCTCTTAGAGTTTATGGGAAAGTCAGTTTCCTGACCTTATGAATTATTGAAAATGTATAATTATGTTGAATTACAGTAATTATCTGTGTGCCCGGGAGAACACGTACATTAACCATTGCCGTCACTAAGCTCCAATGATGTTTTACGATGTAGATTTGCTGATGCTTGAGAATACGGTAGTTGCACAAATGAACAAGCCCATTGCACAATTATCCAACCGACTGTTCGCACTCATCTGTCATGTCTTTCCGATAAGAAAGGCAATTTTGAGGGGGAAATAAGTTATTAAGTAATTCATCTTGTCGATGATTTATAGATAACTCAGCAAGATCCTTGTCTATATGGGGAAGTGTGTTATCATGCCTTGAGTAAACAAAGCTAAGTGCCTCCGAAGCTTCTTTAAAATTCAAAGAACGACCATATGAAAAGAATTTCTTTGCAGTAGAGCAGTAGATAGAATGCGTTCACAGATAATAAATCTGAAATGTGCGCATAAACATTTGCTCTTTGAAAAATGTTATATATTTTTGGATGTGTTTGGAAAAAGAGAACAGGAATGAAACAACGCACCTGATTGGCATTGAAAGTTGGGAAGGCGATGTGCAGTCCAATCACGGGCAAGTGCAGATACCCCGCTACCATGGCAACGAACTGCCACGCCCACTTGTCAGTGCTCCCACCGGACAAGAGCAGAGCGTCTACGTCATGTAGCCTCCCACAGACAGCGTCTACTATCTCTAAAGGCGTGTGTTTCTGTAGAACGACTGACTCCGGTTGTATAGTCACCGTCCTATTGGTCAAAGAGTTGATTGCATCAACTTGGCTTTGAAACGGTCTTTGATACCCGGCACTTGTGAAGATGCCGCCGACTTTTGCCAGTCTTGGCGCCGTTGCCGTCTGTTGTCCATCATCTATCTCCTCTATAACATCGCTATGCTGTGCTTTTTGTAGTTTATCTCCGCCTACGTGGAAGTAGGTTGGCGCGATAAAAGATGGAATAGAGGTTGATGTCGGAACACCTACTCCTCCAAGGAGGGAACCATTAAACCCCATCTGCCCACTGGAGATTGTTGAAGCCATTAACAAAAGTAGTGTGGGACTGACGGAGTTGACTTGAATCATGTTGATCTGTCTTATAAGGTTCTGTTAAGATCAGTTGATGTATGGAGCTTTATCAGAAGGTTGCCTGTAGACTCACCATTCCTGTGGTCGTGAGAAAGGTTGTCTTCACTTCAGCCCACGGTGTCTCTGATTGATTGTTTCGTGTTCAAAGTCGTACTTGGACTTCAAGCAAGCCTCAGATTAAGCTGGCGCAAAGATGTGATCGATGTTCTTGGGTAAAACTTTCCATCTTCTCCCTCGATGTCAAGTCGGAAAATGTACCTGTTAGTAGTCCATCAATCTTTTCAAAGACGAATAGTTTTATTTTGTTTCGGTTGCATTTGTAGGTTGTAGCTAGAACTTGACTAGAACTTGTCTGAGAAGTTTTAGCTTTGTTTCTGTTGGTATCTGGTCATCGGTCTTGTATGTGTGGCTGGTGAGACGATCGTACCTGGTTACGGGCTGTGCAGTGGAACATCCGACATACGTGATCTGAAAGGTAAACATAAAGCAACTGAAACATTTTGAAATAAAGACTGAACTGTAACTTCCAACACTAGAATTTTCGGTTGACTCCATCAACCTTGTTCACGGAATGGACCCGTCTACTCTTGGAACGTGACGTCAGAGACACGTGACACGTAGTAGCGGGTCATACGTGCCAGATAACTTGTGTCGCCCCCCGTCTCTGTTCAGGGTAGGTCTGTGAGCTCTTATGTAGACTGCTTCCTTAACTCCTCGAAACGAAAATTTGGGGTAAGTCCCAATTCTATACCTAGTGTTGGAAGTTACAGTTCAGTCTTTATTTCATAATGATTTGTACCAACACAGATGAACTTTCATGCTAACTGAAACATTTATTGTTCACTTGGTATGAAGTATTTTCTATTTCTAGTAAAACGTTGAACTTTATTCCAACTCACAATTGTACAGGGATCAAAATTTCAGCGACCACTGTCGACTTAATCAGGATTGATCCCTGTACAATTGTGTGTTGGAATAAAGTTCAACGTTCTACTATGATTACTACCAACACAGATGAACTTTCATGATATTTTCTATTTCATCACACACATTGTAACCATGTACAACAGTTAGCAGATATACATCTTTATAACGCTGTTGGATAGCAATAACAAATACAACACGTTTCTTAATTTGCAAATATGCTAGTGCCTATATAATTATACGGAACAGAGATATTGCTCTTTCGCTCCAGGGCGGCAATTTTGAGAGAAACAGCCTTGCTGCGAGGGGTTATGTAAAAGAGGTAAATTCAGCCATCGTATACCTTCAACATACATCAGTCTGTAGTGTGCATATCAGTGTCATCTTGTGGAACCGAAAAACACGCCGTTATCTGATCTAAAGCCAGTTGAACGTTTACCGTATATTAGCATTTTAGAGGCACCCCGTAGGACCGCCAACCTTGTGATCTTATCCACTTAAAAGAACATCAGTTAGAATAAATCAGGATGTTGCTGATAAAAGCTGTTTCAGAAATGAGTATTGACAGTTCAACATGATGAGTGGTTGGAATTATTCAACATATACGGTTTACCTTTAGATGGTAAGCCTAGTTGTTAATTGGTGAGTATTGTAAAGTCGATAACTATTAAGCAGTGTTGATTACAGGTGGTATTCTTTTTGTAGGGATAAATAGTTCAGGACTCTTTATCATCTACATCAGGGCTTTACAACCATCCCTTAACAGAGACGGGGGGCGCCACAAACTTTCTGCAACCTATGATCCACTCCTCATGGAGTCACGTGTGTTATCTGCGTGACGTCACGGAAGCGGTGGATGGCTCATTCCTTGACAAAGACTGGAGTTGTACAGTCGAAAATTCGGGTGAGTCCAATTTCTTGTGTTGGAAATTATAGCTTATACTTTCTTCATAATGATTTCTACCAACACAGATGAACTTTCAAGATTAGTTCAGGGCTCTGTTTACATTGAGCGTATTCTCTGGTGTTTCCTTGAAGTTCACATTCAAACTCTATCAAGAATGTGCACATATCTGCATAGCTATCAAACTGTTTTAGTTTTCTGATGGATTATCTGTAGCTAACAGTTTACGACCTGAGCAAAACACAATATCCCACAGCATGTATCTTCACGCCAGGTATCACCGTTATTCAAGCTGTTTTACATGATCGCAAATTTGAAGCGCCTGCTTGAATATGGCATTTCTGACACACCGCACAGAGAAAAACAACACGTGGTTCTCCTAGTTAAGTGGTCCCCTGCTGCTTTGAACTCTCATGACAAAATTGTCAAGGTTTCAATATATCTGCTTTAGTATTGTCAGGCCTCGAAATTAGATTTTGTTTCCTATTGTCCCAGCACTGTCCCGAAAATAAATTTCAATTGTCCGAAAGTGAGGATGAACTGTCCCAACTTGTTTTTCAGGAAGTGAACTTGAAGTCAGCTTTATTTTGCTTACATTCTGACTTCCATGCGCGCTATGATTGCAGAGTTAACGTGAAATTTTGGGGAGCTTTTTCCGGAGCCAAACGAAAAAAGGGCTGAAATTCTGATGTTGATTTTTTGGCGACGCCTCAGGGGCGGAGGCATTTGTGTAAGTACTGCGATCGCTTTGAAAGAATTTCAAAAATTGCATGAATGCATTCCCTAGGGAATTGGATTTGAGGTAGCCTCCGGCCTTGTGGTCATCAGAACAAGCAGGAAAGGCTTATGTTACCATGCATGCAATAGCACCTTTTCGGGCAAACTGTGGCTTTTTGCACACAGAATATTAATGATTGTCTTTATTGATATTTCAAATATGTTTTCTTCTATCAAGAGAGAACAAATTTCTTACTCAGGAGCAGCATATTCAAGCTTATAATATTTCAAATGTGTTTTTAGTTGCAACTATATGATGCTGGTCGTTTTTTTTATAACTTTACTGTGTGACACATGTAGTGTAACAGTGATGTTTTGTGTAAGGAATTTTATTCACTAACTGACTTGTGTGTTTTCTATCATGTATGTTTGTGTCAGTCTTGCTTTTTTATTTATT